AATTGGGGGAGGGGAACGGAATTGGGGAAGGGGAACAGACAAGTTGCTGTCCTTTTGTTCTTCAGTCTAGTTGTGGAGGACGTTGCTTCACTGGCCCACGTTGGTATTATCATTGCGCTCTTCCTGGGTGAGGCAGATCAGTCACCGGCCACTGGATGGCCGCTCACGGCGGCTGCTGGTCGCTCATGCCGGTTGCCAGCCACACACAGTAGCTTTACGGCAGCCCACTGCAGCAGGGGCTGCAGCCTACGTTGTCGCCAGCGACCCACGGCAGCCCAGCTCCAGGTCGAGCTGTTGTTCACCATCTTAGCTGTAGAGGGCACAGTGTCACTGGCCCTCATGTGGGATCCAAGCCCGGGCCCTGCTGCTCAGAGCTGGCGTCCCAAACCAGCTCTTAATCAATGCGCCCCTCGGCCGGCCCATCTCTCCCTGATTTCTGAACAGCACACATAGTGTTTCTTGGACGGTCAGGGTTAGATGCCCTTGGCTGCCTCTCCACCCGCTGGGTGTGGCCCCTCCCCCAGCCTTCCCTTCCTCGCTCCTCCCACAAGTATTAGATCACACTGCTGGCTGAAGAAGATTTCAGTTTCCATTAGTATTATTATATCAGTGTTGTTTTCTGCTCTGAGCAAAGTGTGCTAAGATTATCCTTTCTTCATACAGCTTTCTTTTGCCTGGAGTCAGTAATTGCCTCATCGTTTTGTTTTTCATAGGCTAACCACTAATTGTTCCAAATTCTTCACCAGAATTGGTAAGCCCACCAGAACAGGAAAGGGTCACAGGTGCGAGGCCACCTGCCAGGCCCCACTTCCCGGGAGACCCCTCCAGCTCCTTGGCTGCGTCTGCTGGCATCAGTTGTGACCGGGCTCGCTGTGCAGCCCGGGCTTCCCGCCTTGCCTCTGTGTTAGAGCCTGGAAATCCTTTGGGTCTGTGTGTGCTGTCTGGTGCCACCAAGCACCGCCACAGGCCTACCGGCTTACAGCAGCACTTGGCCCCCATCCTGTAGCTCCGCAGCCTGGGTGGCTCAGCTGGGCCCCGCTCAGGGCCTCAGGAGTGAGATCAGGTGTCGGCAGGTTTGCATCCCTCGCTGGACGCTCTGCGGCAGGATCTGCTCAGGCAGAGCGCAGTTCCTGCAGTGGAACGGCTGGGGTCCCGTGTTCCTCCTGGCTGTCAGCGGGCAGGGCCGCTCTCAGTTCCTGCAGCTGCCATAGTTCTTGCCATGTGGGCCCCTGTGTCTTCAGAACCAGACTGGCTCGTGTTGAATCCCTCTGGCCAGAAAGTGCCAGGCCCACCAAGGGTCGCGTCCTATTCTTAAAATGGTCGGTGCCATGTGACACGACCTAACCCCATAGTGAATCCGTTCTACTCACAGGCTCGGACATTGTGCAGGCGTGACTGCTGGGCCGGGAGCTGGGGACCATCTGCAACTCTGCCTACTGCAGAATCGAGTGTCTTGCTCCTGGCTTGTCCCCTTGGTGTGGTGGAGCCTGGCTTCCTCTAGCGTCCAGGAAGGGAAGGCAGCCTTGAGGACCTGCCTTCCTGCGTCCAGGGCTGTTGAGTGCATGCCGGCCGCGTTGGTTCCATGTGCAGGTGCCGGGGTGGGCTCTGACCCTTGTTCCCCGCCCCCACCCTATCGGGCGTCGTCCCGGTTCCCTTAACACTCTGAAGTGTCACGCTCTGCTTCAATGCAGGTCTTTCCCCTTCGCCATGCGTGGCATGTTGATGCTGGAGGTTCATGGGGTTGAGTTCCGGAAGTTTTTCTGGATGTTTGGGATAACTTCTTTGTTTTCTCTATCTCTCTGGAACTCCTGTTAGTTGGATGTTGGACTTGCTTCTGAGAGATACCCTGGACTTTATCTTCTCAGTCTTCTCCAGCCTTTCTTATCTGGCTATAATGTGTGTGTGTGTGTGTGTGTGTGTGTGTGTGTGTGTGTGTGTATTTAATTTGCCATTTTAACCATTGTTTTTTTAAAGATTTTATTGGGGAATTGGGGAAGGGGAACGGCCAAGTTGTTGTCCTTCAGTCTTAGTTGTGGAGGGCACAGCTAGCTCCGCTCCAAGTCCAGTCTCCATCCGGCTGCCCATCGGCAGCTCACGGCCGCTCATCGGCAGCTCACGGCCGCTCAGCTCAAGGTGCTGTGATCAATCTTAGTTGCGGGTGGGCATAGTGCACCATCCCATGCGGGAGTTGAAGAAGCAGCCTTGTTGTTAGGAGCACGTGCTCTCACCAGCTGAGCCATCCTGCCACCTGTCGGCAGCTCAGTGACAGCTCAGCTCGGGCACAGCTCACTGGCCTATGTGGGAACCGGCGACCCTGTTGCTCAGAGCTCGTGCTCTTAATCAACTGAGCCTCTCAGCCGGCCCCCTGGCTATAATATATGTATATATATATATATATATATATATATATATATATATATATATATATATTTATATATATATATATTTTTTTTTTTCCTTAGCTTAGCTCTCCTGCCACCTGCTGGCAGCTCAGCTCGGGCCGTGAATTGAACTGGCGACCATGTTGCTCAGATCGCACTCTTGAGCGAGCTGTTAACCAACTGAGCCACTTGGCTGGCCCTGGCTGTAATATTTTTAAGTTTCCCAATTGGACTCTTATTCTCAGATTATCTTTTATGGCGTCCTGTTGTGTCCCGTCGCTCGATGTAGCAGTGTTTCCTGGTTGGTAAACGCTCTTCCCAGCATTCTCTTTTTCATGCTTCTTTCTTTTACCCGTTTTTTTGTGTTTTTTTTTGGCACCTGTCTTAGTGTTGGGGGCCCTCCCCACACCCCTGACGCTCTTTGGCTACCCATCCTACTGAAAAGGATTGGAAGGCTCACGGGCTACTCTCTGCCTGGGGGGTTGTGCCTGCTGGTGGCCTCACTGGGGCGGAGATCCAGCCCCTGTGCCCCTCCCGCCCCATAGCTGCATCCCTCCTGCCCGGCGTCCTTGAAGCTGAGGGGGCTGGGTCTCGATTCAAGGATTAGGATGGTGCCTCTCCCTCTGCCCAGCCTGGGTTCCCTGGCTTCTCAAGTTCGCCTTCTCTGTGGTAACTGCTTGCTGAGCAGGTGGTACAGGAGCCCCACTCTCCTCTCCCTGGCCGGGCGCGTCCCTCTGCCCCGGGCGAGGCCGCTGGCAGGGCTGCCCCGCATGCTTCTGCTCTTCCTGTCACAGCCATGCCACCGCCGCCTGCTGTTCGTCCCCTGGGACGTGCTGCCACCTCTCGCGGTTCGTTCCCTCTCCCGTCTTATTTGTTCTCATGAGTTTCTACCATCTTTCTTCCTTTACTGTCGCCTGGGGCCGGGGGTGCCCCCAGCAGCCCAGCCTCGATGCCGGTGTGTGTGCTTCCTATGAGGGCGGCCTCGCCCAGTCCAGCCCCAGCTCCCAGGTGACAGCCGTTCTGTGGCCACAGACACTGTCCGTCCTCTCCCCATCCTGCACTGCCAGTCTAGTTATGGAAGCGGGGCTTGCGTCCTGAGCATCATGTCTTCTGTTCCCGAGGGTGTGCCCAGAAGCCTCCAGAAGCCTCCCAACATGTCCAGCTCCCTAAGGGAACCGGTTCTGCCTGGGTTAGAGCTGTTAGTTCAGCTTACATAATCTTGCCTTTATTGCTCTTATATTCATTTCTGACTCTCTAATTACTTTTCTGTACAGAAAAAACAAGAGCAGAAAGCCCCAGACAGAGATGCAATAGTCTGCGCCACCGCCAACCTGCCCTCCTGCAATATGGACCGGGCCGTGGTCCAGACCAGCATGAGAGACGTAAGTGCTGCCGGGGGGCGTGGGGTGTCGCCGCGTGTGGGGGCTGCAGCAGCTCTTACAAGTGCTGGGGAAGCGGCTGAAATGCTACAGGAACTATGTGTGTACCTTTTGCCACTTTTCTGTAAACCTAAAATTATTTTGAAGGAAAAGGCATCTGAAGGCAGGACTGAAAGGATAGCTGCTTTGGGGAAAAATGTTAGTTTTGTCCTGAGTTTGGCCAAAACTTTTAGATAGAAACCTGATAGGACTGAGTTGCCTTGGATCGGAAAGTTCTCAGCTAACAGCAGAGCCTCCCCAGTGCTCTGTGGACAGGCCCCGGCCTCAGGCGCCTCCACTGCACCGATGCCCATCTGATCTACATGCCACCCCCAGCCCTGGTTCGTTTTGGCAGCAGACCTCTTTGGGGGCCTCTTCCAGAGAGTTCCGTGTGGGCCAGGGCTTCGGCGCTCCAACACTATTTACCCCCGTGGCCTGTGTGTGTGTTTGCCCCGCTGTGGTGTCCTCACGTGATGGCTGAGGCTTCTTGTGGGAGAGAGGGCAGCAGGTCCCCAGGCCCTCCCATGGTACCAGGGACCAGTTGACAGGGTGTCTCTGATTTCTTGTTGAGAAGGTGGATTTGCTGCAGTGGACACTGTTGGTACCTGTCATTTTTCAGCCAGATGACAGTTAGTGGAGCACGTGGCACCAGCCTGTTGTCTTCAGTGAAGCCAAAGAAGGGCTCTAGCTTCCTCAGCGGCTGGGGGGCCAGACACCTGCCTTGTTGGCTGAAGGGCCGAGCGATGTCACTGGGTGTTGGCACAGCCGTCTACGGCAGCAGAGCCTTCCCTCCTGCCCGCTGCTCAGCTCTCCTGGACGTGCCGCGTCTCCCACTCTCTCCCCTCTTCTCAGTTGACGTTGACATACTTGAGTGAAAAGCAACAGCTCTGACTCGCACATTTGGAGTTTAGGGCGAGCGCATAGCCACGGGTCCAAGTTGATTTGTTGGGCATTTGGTGAGACGCGACCCCTTTCTCCTCCTCCCCCTGCAGTTCCAGACGGAGCTCCGGAAGATCCTGCTGTCTCTCATCGAGGTGGCACAGAAGCTGCTGGCGCTGAGCCCCGGCGCAGTCGAGTTGTTCACGAAAGCGAACGGTACGAGCCAGCCAGGAGGGCGGCGTAACCCCGCGTGCAGATCCCACGTTACCCCGCCTCTGGCGTCAGCACCCCGCAGCTCCTGCCCCCTGCTCCACGGCTCTCGGCACTGAAACTAGAAAAATCCAGCTACTTTGTACTTGGACGCCCAGTGAACTGCTTGTGCTGTTATTCCTGTTCATATAGTGAGAGCTGGGGGTTACGTCTCTGGGTATCTGAGGCTCATTCGCCACAGATGTTCGGTGCTCAGCCAAGGCGCTCGAGCTCCAGGGGGTCCCCGGGAAGCACCTCTCGCGGGCCGGGCCCTGCCTGCTGGGGGCCCTCACCGGCCGCCGTCTGTCGCCCGCAGCGATGCTGGACGAGGACGAGGACGAGCGAGTAGACGAGGCGGCTCTGCGGCAGCTGACGGAGATGGGCTTCCCGGAGAGCAGGGCCGTGAAGGCCCTCCGGCTGAACCAGTAGGTCGGGCTGCCCCCTTCACCGCAGTGCTGGGGGCTTGGTCTGCTGGGGCGCACCCGCAGGCGACAGCTTCCCTCCCTGTCTGACTGACTTGTGTCTAGCACGTGTGAGGTGCTCACAGTCACTGGACCAGGCAGAGCGTCCAGGACACTGAGACCGGCTCCCTCGCTGGGAACAGGACGTAGTGCTGGCTGTGTAAATGCTCACGGGGCGTCATTTCTCGAGAGCTCAAATCGAAGCCCATTCCTAGCAGGGGCGCTGACGACCCAAGGGTCAGCCTAGTGTCATCTGTAACCGTCTTCCGTAGCTTCCTGGTCTCTACGTCTTGGTTCAACCTGAGATAATCTGTGAACCGAAGGGTGAGCAGTGAGCCACCCTCTTTTTGGCTCCTGTCCTGAACTCCTGTGTCCCTCGTGTGTTGGGTTCCCTTTGCTTACAAAGGGGGTGTCTGTGGTCTGGCCATGACCGTGGGGCAGTTAGAGGCAAGGGCCAGAGTGCCAGACACACCTGTGTTAGGAGTCTCATTACAAGGGGTGGGTAGCTGATGCCAGAGAAGTCATTGCAATCAGAGCGGCTTTTCTTAGGGACGTGAAGGACAGAAAGGGCTCTTGGTGACTGGCCTGGGAATGCAGGAAAGCGTCTGTCCTTACCTTTCAGCATGTCGGTACCTCAAGCCATGGAGTGGTTGATTGAGCACGCGGAAGACCCCACCATAGACACACCCCTTCCAGGCCGCGCCTCACCCGGAGTGGCGGGGGCCGGGGCCGGGGCCGAGGCCTCAGCCGAAGCTGCTGCCGGGTCTAGCGAGGGAGAAGAAGAGGCCAGAGATGAGCTAACGGAAATCTTCAAGAAGATTCGGAGGAAAAGGGAGTTTCGGGCTGACGCTCGGGTACGTGTCATCGGACCTGGACCAAGCCAGGTAGAGGTGCTGTTCCCGCTTGAGGCTGCATCGCAGCAGCCATGCCTCTGACCATAAACTGAGCCTGCCCTCGCCCTGGCCCCGGGGGACAAAAGCTGGGTGAGGCTGGGGGCCGACTGAAGTTCCCAAGTTCAGTGTTTTTTTTTTAAAGAAATTTTATTGGAGAACACTGTGTTTTCCCAGGACCCATCGGCTCCAGGTCAAGTAGTTGTCTTCAATCTAGTTGTGGAGAGCACAGCTCTCACACATGCCGGCTCATATGGGAATGGAACCAGCAACCTTGGTGTTATGAGTCTGCGCTCTAACCACCTGAGCTAACCAGCTGTCTCCTAAGTTCAGTTTTAAGTCCTCCTCATTAAACTCAAGTGGCTGTGTTTTCCTATGAATAATTAGCATATCTGTCATCTGTTGAAAAACTCACATCAGGTTCCTGTCCATTTTACACGTGTGCGTGAGCCATGGGGGCGGTTGGGGGCGCGGTGTGGGGTTGCCTGGTGACCGTAGGTCTGTGGGATGGAGCGACCTAAGGCCTGGGACTCCTGGCTGCACTCGGCCGACTGACATCCGCTCTCACTTCTGTGGCCGCCTCTTCATTGTCCCCTCATTTCTGATGCTTTTGCACCTCCCGCCTTTATTCCCTGGTCTGTTCCTCTGTTAGGCGTTAATGTCTCCTTGGATGCTTTTCCCCCCTGGGAGCGTGCTCTGTTCTTTTCACATCGTGGATGCGTGAGCTCTGGCCCCACGTGTTTTGACTGCTGGGAAGCAGCTGTTCACGTGGGGTCGGTCGCGGCTCGCCTGTGACGCAGAGGGTGCTCCTGCAGGTTAAGTGGGACCTCAGTCGGGCCCGCTTCCACGCGGATCGCCGGGCAGGATGCCTGACCCTGCTCTGGGTGGCCCCCCTGCAGCGGCACGTGTCGTGTCCGGCTCCTCTCCTCTTGGGACACAGGCCTTTTCAGGGTCCTGCTTTAAGCTCCAGCTCCCTACCTGTGTGGACCCAAGATCCATGTCCTGGCTGAGTGGACATCAGACCCAACCCCAGGCCCTGCTAATGGCCCCGCCCCGCCGAGGGCGCACCCTGTTCTTTGGCTAGTTTGCTTTTCCTTCTTTGTTTTTGACACTTGGAGATATTTTCTTGTGAGTTCAGATGTGCGTTTAGAAATGTTTCTGTTTTATTGTAGTCCAGTGCTCCTGGGTCTAGAAGGAAGTGTGTCTTCAGGGCTCCAGGTCTGTCTGGCACTGGGACCTGTTCGGCCTGGGCGGCCTCTGTCTGGGAGCCCGTGTTAGGTCAGTTCATAGGCTTGGCTCTGTCTTTTATGCAGGTGTTCTCACCGGTCTCACGAACATGCCCTTTCCCAAATCCCCATCTGCTGCCACGCCTTCCCGCTCCTCTCTGTGGTAGAAACACCCCACAGATATCTTCTTTCATAACAGTTGTCATACACGGGCGTCGAGGCTGTAGGGGCCAGGACGTCAGCCCTTCTCCCCTGTGACCCTGTGCCAGTCGGGAGAGTCGGCCTAAGGACCGAGAGGCTGGCTCAGTTCCCAGGAAGACTGGGCGAGAAAGCTGGGCTTTGGCTGGTGTCTGAAACAGGCTTTTTGCGGCCGCCCTCTCCCCCTTCCAGCTGTTACCTCTCCGAAGTATTGCCCAGTGCTCCCCATGAGAAGACCTCTCCCTGATGGCTGGGAAGAAGGGTGGGGGCACGTCGCTGGGTGTCACCTCTCAGAAGTATTGGGGCACCATTTCCTGGGCTGAGATAGAAATACAGAGAGAGGATCGTTTTTATTGAGATTAACGGGAAAAGCCATCCTATCGTATTTAGCAGTAGATTCCAGGTGACTTTCTGTGGCTTTGATATGAAAACGTGGTGTGGTGGGCTCTTCTGCCATCAGTCAGTGACTGAGCCCCGGCGTTAGGACGCGGCCTAGGACGGAAAGTGGAATCAATTCTAAGTAGGGAACACTGGCTCCTGAGTTCACCGCCCCTCTCTGGCTCCATTTCCTCTTTCCCCAGTCGCTCCCCAGCTGACTTCTTTCTGTTGGGCCCTGTTTGAAACATTGACTATTCAGTGCAGGCGCGTCCCACAGAAGGTGGGGCTTGTCACGCCTGGGCGGCTGTGCTGCCTGCACGGCACTGGCCCCAGGGGCCAGCAGAGTTAGACCAGCGGTGGGAAGTCGGAAAGAAGGCAGGCAGGGCCTTCAAAAGAGGATGATTTGACCTTCAAAGAATTAAGAGAGATCCTTGAAAATTTGATGAGACTTTCCCTTTTCTTGTTTTTTTCTTTGTTTTAACAAAATCGATCCCTTTAAGGATTGTATGATAATAGCCAAGAACAAAGTGAAGGACATATTATTGTCTTGTTATATGATTTTTGTCCTAAAAACGTACATATCCCCCCTCAAAAACAAAACATTGATCATTGGGCTATTGTTCCCTCCAAGAATTCGCATATGTTTATACTAAAAGCTTAAATTTTGTTAAATATCAGATATTTAAAATTAATTTTAGTTTCATTATTTTAAAGATAAAACCTGAAGAAAAGCCCCTTTTCTTTACAAATCACTGTGACACTTGGTCTCCACTTGAATTGGATTTGCTTATGTGACCTTTCTGTAATGCCACTCCTCCTGGTGACAAGGTCCTCTGGGATGAGCTTACGTGTGGTTGTGAAGCCGGTTGTAGCCGACAACATGGGCACAAGCCTCGGGGACGTGAAGTGAGCCTGGCCTGCCTCTGGCCTTTGGTGAGCCAGTGTCCCATCCATCTGTGGCCCCCTGGCTGGCCCCGCCGTGACAAGTGCAGGCCGCCCCTCCACCCCCATCTCTAGTCCCTCTGTGGTTCACAAAACCAGGAAGGGTCCCACTGAAGCTTGTCAGGAGGCCGTTAAATAGACGACCCCGTGGCACTGTTCTCAAGCTCCCTCTGCTGAGACGCTGTCCGTGAGCCATGGCCTGACTGCACAGGGGCCACCTGGCTCCTCAGGTCCATGCCGCGTCCCCAGAGCGTGGCACCGAGTGACCCCAGGATCTCCCTTAGGCTGTCATTTCCCTGATGGAGATGGGCTTCGACGAGAAGGAAGTGCTCGACGCCCTCCGAGTGAACAACAACCAGCAGAACGCAGCTGTGAGTACCAGGCCCACCAGCCCTTCCCCCTGTGCCAGCGGCTCCCTCACGTCGCTCTTGCGATGACTGCTGCGTGAGTGGTGGCTCTCACCGGCAGGCCAGGACGTTACTTTTGAAGTGAAACAATAGGGGAAATGTTTTAAGTACTGAGAAAATTCCGGGCTCGGCCTTTCTAAAAGTGTTCGTATTCGATGAGCGTGTAATTTGTTTATTCATTAGACAGATTCTGAGATCGAGTCCCCTTCTGTGAACACACCCCAGCTGCTGACGAGAGCTGATGGGAGGGGCCGAGGGTGGGCTGGCAGCAGTGTCCACTTGTGGGCGATAGAGCCAGTGGTCACGTGAAACAGACAAGTGCGGCCGTGCTCTAGACGTTTCCAGACTCACTGGTGAGCCGTAGCAGGGACTCAGCCATACCCAGGGCTTCTTCCCTGGAACAAGGCCAGGTTTCGTGCATTTCTTAATTCTTCTTCCCAAACTCTGGGAGGTCATGCCAGCACCCTGTTCAGTGACTGGAGAAGTCGCAGCTGTTAAATGGAACCGCAGTGCCAGGAAGTGCTCTCAGAAAACCAGACTGGCACTGCCTTCTCTCTGCCGGCCCGTCCTGACATGGCCGTGCCAGAGGCTGGCCCGGTTTGCTTTTGTGTTAAGGTCCTTCCAGTTGGAGCGTCTCTGGGCTGGCCAGGTGCTCTCCGCGCAATGTTTGACGGTGATGGCAGGTCCAGAAGGGACTGACGGCTGCCTGTCCTCTTGCCTCTGCAGTGCGAGTGGCTGCTGGGCGACCGGAAGCCCTCGCCCGAGGAGCTGGACCAGGGCATCGACCCCAACAGCCCTCTCTTTCAAGCCATCCTGGACAACCCAGTTGTGCAGCTGGGCCTGACCAACCCTAAGACTCTGCTGGGTATGTTGTGTGTGCCTCTTCACGCTCGCTGGGGTAGATGGGCGCCCTCAACACGCAGGTGTCACCACGCCTGGGAGCTGTCCCCGCTTGCTGGAGCGGCCTCAGCGTGGCTCCTGCCTGCGTCACTGAGGCCAGGAAATCAGGTTCTGCCCGCGGTGTGACAAGCTCCTATGCGGTGCGTCTGTGCGAGCTTCCACAAACCAGACATGGCAGAACACCTGGGCCCTGGGGAGCGGGCCGCATCCGGAGGGCAGAGGCCTTTGTGGGCCTCGCTCTCGCCATCTCAGGGACTTCTTCGTTCGTTGTGTTGCCTGTGAAATATCCACGCAAAAGCAGATACAACTTTAGGAACTTTAAAGAGTACTAATGAAACTGATAAGCACATACCTACCATTCAGCTTAAAAAAACAACCTTTAAAGAAGCCTGGAGCGCCGCAGGCCCTCTGGAGCCTCTGGGTGCCTCCCCGCGCCCCTCCTGCAGCGTGACACCATCCGGGTGTTTCTCACTCCTTTGCTTGGGAGGGCTGTGCAGACAGACACCCCACGTCCTGCCTGCTGGTGGCTCCCATGCCCGTCCCCTGCCGCACACTCGGGTCTCCAGGGCCAGCGTGTGCGTGGTGAGCTGAGTGTCAGGAGGGGTCCAGCCCTCAGCCCTGTCGTTCCCCAGGGTCGGTGGCCCTGGCTCACCTCTGGGCCTCTTTCTCTTGGCTTGTTTCCTCATTCAGTAAGTTCCTCACCTGTGCTGGACACGGATCCTGTCTTATTTGTATCGTTGAGTGCTGTTTTCCAGCTTCTCACTTCTTTATTTCAGTTCACGTGGCTGAACAGCAGTCCTGTGTTTTAATGTAGTTGAAAGTATCTGTGTTTATAACACGACGCTCCGGCCTCAGGGTCTGAAGATGTCCACCTTTTTTAAGTCTGTAATCTACCTGGCCATGTGTTGGCGTAAGGTGGGGATTTTCCCTTTGTACCCCAGTTCTGAACCTCGGTGATGTCTGTGTCTTGCTGTGCATGTACTTTTTGTGCTTTGGGCCAGGCCCCAAGCAGCCTTTCCACCTGGAAGCATTGCCTCCTGCTCCTGCAGACCCGCTGCGGGGGCTGCCCAGAGCCAGAGCCTCTTCTAGAGCCGTTGTCTCTCTACTCCACCATGGACACTGACTAGCTGCAGGCTTTTTTTTTTTAAATTTTTTGAAGATATATTTGGTTAAATTAAGGAAGTTTCCTTTTTCCTTCAGTTTAGATGCTGAGAATTTTGAGACCTGAATGTGTGTCCGTTCTACTGCTTTTTCCCTATCTATCAAGGTTATCATAGGGTCTATATTTGTTAATGTCCAGCCTTCCTCACATTTCCAGATCAAACCCCGCAGAGTGAATACCGCCCACTTTGTGGGGCTCCTAGTCGGTGGAGCTGAGTTGAGGGCCACCGTTGCGGCCACACGGCAGGACTGCCGCTTGGGCAGGGCTCGGGGCTCTTACCGGCTGGAGTTCTGCCTGCGGGCTTGGCCCGCCCGGCCCTGGGTGCCTGGTGTCCCTGCAGTCTCAGACTCACCCAGAGAGAATGCCCCGTCTGTGCTGAGGTCCATGGCCCAGCCCGGCACCTCTGCGGCCACACACTTCCCTCAAGCTCATGTTCGGACATTTCTGATGTGTGTGGTTTTAAATCACCATTATTATTTTAGATGAAGTAAAATATTCATTATAGAAAATTTGGGAAATGCAGGAAAGAATGAAGAAGCAAGCTGAGGTCACCTCTGACACCCCGATGGGTGGCCTTCCTTCCGTCTCTGGGGGTCTGTGGAATGGGTGCAGTCAGAGCGGTCCGGCTCTCATGCTGCCTGTTTCCTATCACGTCGGGCGCCTTTTCTCATCTCTGCTGTTTTGAAAACAAGAGTTTTTAGGGGGTGCAGGTATTTTATTCTGTAGATATGCTATTTCCTTATTTCTGGTCACTTACATTGTTTTTATTTTGTTGCTTTTGGACCTGTGGCTGCGGTAAACCTTGTGCCCGCTGCTTTGGGTCCAGCTCATATTTCCTAGGATAAATAGAGTCAAAGGCCAAGTCCAACAGTGTGGAGCGTTTTACACTCTTGGTAACATCCCGGCAGCTTGCTGTCGCGTCTTACAGCGGACGCAGCCGCCACCTGAGTGTGTGCCCGCTGTGCTGCACTCTCGTCCACGCCCACCCCACAGATAACCCTGGTCACTGCATTTCTGTTCCTTTGATCTTAGTAAGCTGAGTATGTGTCTGCTGGCCATTTGCATTTCTTCTGTCACATACTGCCTGTGTGTTGGTCGTCCGTATTTCAGTTGCAATATTAATCTTAGCTTTGTTAATACAATAGCTCTGTCTGTGTTGCACATTTTTTATTTGCCCTTTCATTTTTGTATGGCACTTTTTTGAAATTCACAAGTTAAGACATTCAGAAGAAAGTCCTTCCTCAGATAAATATTCATCTGTGTGGATTTTCATATTTAACTCCTTTTTTGGTGTTTTTGTTCAGCTCTTTTCTCCTTCTGGAATTATTTTGCTGTTTGCTGGGAGAAAATGGGACATGAATTTCCTGGCAATGTTC